GCAGGGTTAATAAATAAAAGTACTAATACCACAGAAACACGACTTACTCGTTTGCGCTACTCCCCTGTGAGTGGACTAAAAGACGGTTCCCACAGGAGATGCCGCGTCGTGGGACCCAACAGTCAGAGCAAAAGCCAGGTATTTGGAACGGGTACTGAGACATCGGGTGGGATAAACATCGGAGGATTCCCAGCTAGCGGGGGGGCTTCCGCACGAGCCGTTGGACGCGCCGTTCGGTCGATAAAATGGCGCTACATGGACGGCTGGATCGTGTGCCGTGTGAGACGGATGAACGGCCTACGTACCGAGTGTCGTTTCATCAGGATCATGGAATATTCCTTGATACTCTCCGGATTTAAATAGCCTCCAAACCTATATTGACTCGTTAACTTCCAAAACTATCTCTTCCGTTCAGTTTCGGAATCCAAATAACTACTTCAGTATTCAAATCCACCACTACCACCTGTGACCTGTCAAATCCGATTAATAAATATTTTGATTCAAGGATAAATTCTCAAAAAAAAAATTTAATTTTCTTCTACGTAGCACCCCTTTTAATTTTATTTTCATATAATATCTCTTATTTATTTAAAAAAATAATATTATCTTCGGCTTATACCTTGTTGTTCGTCGCCTATACTCTACTGCCTCTGTCCTATCGTGAGGGCTCATCATTTTGTCAGCATCCTTATCGCCTTATCTTCGCTCATCACTTTTGTCACACAAAGTTTTTCTTCCCTCGTGCTTCTTCGCATAAGCTACTGTTATTAAAAACGAGTAAGGGACACGAGTAATAACCAAGTAAGTAAAAACGAGTAAAGACGCAATCCATTAACACGAAAGTCACAAAAATGATCGATAAAGGTAAAAACATAAGAGACGAAGAAGTGATAATAGTGACAATGATCGACTGAGTGAAAGTCAGGAGTAATGTTATTTTTAAAAAATAGAAGACGTTTTATGAGAATAAAAAAATATATATACTTTACAATGAAAAGTGAAAAGTTAATTTAAAAAAAAAATACCCATAACAGTTTATAAATGGCATTAGATCGGGGACTAATAATAAATTACTCAGACTTATCTTAGCCAATTCATAAACATAGTGAACGAAAATAGAACCAAAAAAAAAGACCAGCTGTCTACCTCACTCATAAGACCATTAAAACACACCATTATAGTCCAAGTGGAGCCTACTTTGAAGCCGACACGCGCGACATTGCCATCGAAGACGAACCCCACTTGACTCGACCCGGTAAAAGCGAGATGTTTATATAGGGTGAGTCAACGTTGGTTTTACGGACACATTTCAAACATGGAAAACATCAATGTCGACACGTCCTGCATCAACATTTTACTCAACATGACCAGTTTAACTCCTCGTGTTTTCATCACAAGCCACGATTGAGATGGATTTGGCTGATTTGGTTAACAACGATCTGAGCAAGAGCTCATCTTTTTGATGAACCAAACACAGGCAACAGCCGAAGAAGTAACACGAATCCTCTCAAACACTGCTGAGGAAGCAGTCACGAAAAGATACCGATAGCAGATAGATACCATACGTCAATGACAAACACGGAGCAATGTAGATGCTTACTGGGACTGATGATGCCCAGCTCCATAACATTCCACCGAGAGAGCCCAATGGGACGAGACAAGCGGGTGTCAGCGAAAGCATCAGGATACCACAAGTCTCTTGGGTTTCAAGGTCTTGTTCCTGGGAAAGAGTGCCGAAAGAATGCTCTTGTTGCGAGGAGGAGGCTGGCAGATTTCACGCTGTCCAGAATCATTAGAGGACTCGAATCCTGCTACAGTTCTTGTGCCCTCCAATGGATCCTGCCAATGAACAACTCAAATGACAATGTAATCACATAAGATCAAGTAAAAGTTTCGCCAGAGGAATGGTACAAACATGTATGTGCACATAGCATGTAGTGATGATTATATTATCTTTTAGATGCATAATGTACTTTCTAAAATAGAATTTTTCTTTTTGTTAATGAAGAAATACCTATAGATATGTACAGCTTCTGCATGTTAGTCGTATTTTTTGAGTAAATGCAGTAGCAGCAAGTTTCTTTGTGCATGCAGACTTGTATGGCTCCATGAAACTAGTGAATAGATGTTACTCTTATTTACCTTAACAGCAAATGTACGAGAAGCAACATTAATAGTTGGACGTCTCTTGGCAGCCTGAAGGTAACTTGATAGGGGCAGTGGGGCGGTAGTCTCCTCTGCACCCGAGACTTACATGAATCAACAACTGAGCGCTAATATTCAAAGAAAGAACACTAAGGGCATTGAGATGCAAAATACCAAGAACACGGCAAGAATCAGCAGTCATTCCGAAAGCTTTAGAATCATCAACCCTGAAAGAAGAGAAAAACATAAACTTTTGAGTCGCAGTGAAAGACCAAATCAGTTTGAATAGAAGCTTGCCGGAATGCTGTATGAGGAGGATCTCTGTTTGGTGAAGAGTTGCTCCCGGAGGCTAGGTGCCAAGATAAAGTTTTTGGAGCTGCAGATGAAAAAGAAGCATGGAATTCAGAATCGACATAGTTTAAGACCAAGCTGCATTGGAAATATGAACATAATGCAAAAAGAACACACCCCAAGTATGAGGAAGAGGTTTTGCTTCAACATGACTCGGATTGATATGGTTTTGTAGCATCGAACTGCTCTCCACACTTGTGCCGACAAATTCTAGATAGAATGGTATCAAACCAAAACAATTAACACGCCACCTCATTCCTTGTCCTGCAAAAGAAGAGAGAATCACTTTCTAATTGTTCTTACTTGGTAGAGTGTAATGTTTGAGATGCCTTGGGGTTGCTGCAAACAGTTGGTGCTGCCTAAGACACTCCTCACCAGTGAAAGCTTGACAAGCGAGAATTTGCTGAAAATGAGAAAGAAACATGAGGTCAATTCTAAGAATTCCAAAATGGTGCTCTATTTCACAAAACATTAACCTGACAGAGACATGAAATCTTTTGCTCTACAGTTGCCATGTCTGATGATTGCTGCTCAGAAAGGTCTGTTAATTTGTAAGCAACAGTACCAAGATGATCAACAACATTGACAAGGGCTCGGACACCATACTCTTTCAGATTATCCACCACCCTGAAAGGAAGATGTGGTTACATTTTCCAACTGAAGCAAATAGCCATTCTGGATTTGATTGCTTAAAAATTTTGAGTTTGGGATTTCACAAAACAAGATGATCCATACATATGAACTTGCGGCTTCACAAATCTCAACGAGTGAATGATTGTAGCTATCATTAGACTAGAAATAAAGCAGCTCAACCAACAACAATAATAAACTAGCTATCATTGCACTGAGAAGCACACTCAACCAACAACAACAAATAATAAGTCTCAACTATTTGGGACCGACTACATGGATCATATTTGGTTCTTTATTTTCACCCAAGCCTACGAAAAAAAAGGACCTTATTGTCAACAAGATCTCGTAAATGTTTTGTTGTTGTCAACAAGATCTCGTAAATGTCAACAAAATCATACTATGAGGCTAAATAAAATCATGGTTTCTCAAATTAATGTGACCATCAGTGATCAAATTGTAGGATGCATTCCAGTCCATGATCTGATTATTCACATATATTCTGCAGCTTTTTCATAACCAAAAGAACCATATGCACAAGAAAATTTCAGCATGCCTTTCGGGGTCTGCACACACATGTTATTCGGATATCGAAAAATGGACTTTTCAAGAAGAAAGCAGAGGAAGGACCAGAACCAGCGATTCCTAAGAACACATAGGAGGATAGATCTTACATCTGTTTCTGCTCACTGCGAAGGTAAGATTTTTCGCAGTACTCGGCAGCAGAGTAAAGCTGAGGTCTCAGATTCTTGAGCTCCTAAACATCATTAGCACACATAACTATCAGTTCAAAATTTGGCGACAAGCATTACAGACGACAGATTCGTACAGATATTTCCATGAACAAAAGCGATGCTTCTGAAATAATACGGAATCCAGAATAGAAAAGCTTATCGTTCGATTCAAAGAACACAAATCGTTTAAGAAGTGGAAGTAGAAGGAAACAGAGACCATTAACTCGGAGATCGATGCGGATCAGACTCAGAAAAGTACCAGAAAAATCGGGTCCGCCAACAAACGTAAGTATCTGAAATCAAGAACCGGCTGTAAGTACGAATCAAAGGACCCAATCTCGATATTTGAAGCTACCAGAATAAGAAACCCTAAGTACGAATAAAAAACAAAGAGCAAGAAAGAAGCGATCGCACAGAAAGGCAGTCCATCAGATCCGGAGGCGCAGAAGCAACGAAGGAAAGGAAGGATCCAGATTAAGAGGAGGAGCCGGGCTCACCTGCAAGGCCTGGACGAAGCCCTTGCTCCTCTCGAGGGAGACCTCGTCGAAGGTCATGGCACCGAGCTCCGGCCTCCCTTGCTGCATTCTTCTTCCTATATCTCACACACACTCTGCCACCGAATCACACGCCTCCACCACCGCCGCCGCGTTGCGAGGACAAAGAGAAAGAAGTGGAGGAGGAAGAGGAGTTAAGATTAGATTTAGTTTCCTTCGCTTTTCCGCGTCGTCTCTTTCTTCTTCCTCTTCTTCCACTAATAGCGATGAAGAAGAGAGAGGGTGTGAGGCCGAAGCAATACCGGGAAACGGCGTGCTGTATTTTTGCTTTATTTCGAAAAATAAAATGATGATGGCAATAATAGACGGTGCTGATGTCTTTAATAATAGGATGATGGATTGATGATGAGGCGGACCAAATGTCTCACTTCCGCGTCTCGATACGTCGGGTTAGATTTATTATTGGTTGGAGTATTTGGCACTCCATTTACTTTGTTTGACTTGAGTGCTCTCCGTGGTGGCAAAGTACCAAATCAATCGCTGGGCGTGTGGTGGCGGCAAGACGACGGCAAGCACATTGATAGTGGTGCTAAGCCACCAGATTTGGCTCCTGAATCGACAGCATTGTACGAGTCGAAGACCTAACTGAGGTAATAAGCACGCAACACATGACATGCATTATGAGTGACGGAAGCCACAGAACCATATAGTTCTTCCTTCGCAATCGAAGAATCATATGCTCCTATGGAGAAAGTACAGTTTTCTTCTTCCTCTGAAGGAAACAGAGACCAGCCGTGTGTTCCTGCAGAGGAGGGTTAATCGATGGGTGAGCAGAAGAGAGAGCTCTGGCCAGCTTGTCGACGCAGAGGTAGAACAAGCCGCTGTGCTGTCGCAGTCCCCCCTCCGAGCTAACCCTTCTCGTTGGCTTCGGAATCTTGGCTTGAAAGAGAATCCAACTGCGTGCAGCCCCCACCGCGTTCCTTTGACTGGGAAATTTACAGCGGTTGGTTGATTCCTCTCCGCAAGCGAAGAAGCAGTCTTTGCGTGCAGGACTTTTGCCACAGCGACGGCTACAAGAACACAAGAAGAGAGACGAGCAGCGGTGCGATCAGATCGACAAGCTCTTCTTGGGCGAGGTGGAGTTTACGGGCCGCGCCGGAAGAGCTTAAACTGGAGGGCCGGCCATGACCGCCGTCCCTCGACGTGGACGACAAGTAATGCTTCGTCGTATGACTCCTCGCACTCGCAGCATCTTTGCTCTCCGTCTCGCAGTAACTGATGCCCGACATCGACTCGATCCCCTCGTATCTTCCATAGCTCATGTCGTAACACAGTCCCGAGTTGTTGTAGAGCCTCAGCTTCTTCCCCATCTTCCACAGCATCTCCCTGCCGATGGGGATGGGCCCCATGAGCTGGTTGTCGTTCACCCTTAACTCGGTCAGCTTCTGTAGCTTCTGAAAGCTTTTAGGTATGGAACCGTTCAGCTTGTTCCCGTCGAGATGAAGTACCCGAAGGCTTCCCAGTTCTCCGATGGACTCGGGTATGGATCCTTGCAGCCCCATGTTGGATAGAATGAGTGTGTTCAACGCTGCGAGCCCTGCAAATGCGTCCTTGGGAATCATCGCTGAGCTCATCGGATTGCCGGTGAGAATCAACGCTGTTAGCGACCTCAACCCACCGAGAGAGCGTGGGAGAGGGCCGGCGAGGCGATTGTGACTCAGATCGAGTAATACCAGGTTCTGTAGGTCGCAGAGAGAGTCTGGAATCGAACCAGAGAAGCGATTTCGACTCAGGTCCATCTTGACGAGGGAATCCCACCGCCCGAAAGAAGTTGGAATCCGGCCATGGAGGAGGTTACGGCTGAGGTCCATGACGGTCAAGGAGGGAAGGTTGAGTTCAGGAACTGGGCCGTAGAGCTGGTTGTGACTCAAATCCAGTAACTGGAGATTCCTCAGGAGTTGAAGCGACGGCGGAACAGAAGAGCTGAGATGGTTCCCGTGGAGATCGAGCACCCGAAGGGAAGTGAGGTTGCCGAGCTCGGCCGGGATGGGGCCCGTGTTGGCGTTCTCGCGGAGGACGAGGGAGCGGAGGGTGGGGCCGAGGCGGCCGAGGAAGGCGGGGACGGGCTGAGGGCTGCCGGTGAAGCAGCGGTAGAAGAAGAGGGAGCGGAGGTGCGGGAGGGCGAGGAGGGCGGGGGAGAGGGAGGACCGGGCGGGGTCGCAGGTGGGGAAGGCGGTGTCGTCGGAGAGGGCGCCGAAGGAGAGGGAGACGACGTGGTAGACGTCGTTGGTGTCGGGCATGCACTCGATGCCGTGCCAGCGGCCGCGGCACACGTCGGGGATGGACGTGGCCCAGCCGTTGCCCGTCGCCTCCATGATCTCGTACACCGCCCGCTGCTCGGCCGGGTCGGTCCTGGCGCTGTCGGAGAATCCCGTCTGCGGCGCGTCGACGAGGGCCGACGAGTCCGGCATCACGACGGTGAATTCGGACGAGGAGGGGGGGAGAGGCGCCATCAGAAGAAGAAGAAGAAGAAGCACGATGGGAGCCATGGTTGAACGGTGTATGGCAGGGAAGGGACATGCGAACGTCGTGGATATATACGATTTGGGCTGGCAGGGGAGTTGGGCCACGTAAGCCAGGGAATTTAGTGCGGTCACGAGGAGGGGAAGGGTGACGAGTTAATGAAGTGCGGATTCGGGAGCATTGAATAGGTTTCACGGGAATGTCGACAAAGCATTACTACGACTCGTCAGCAGCAATTGATGATGTATGATGTGGCGTTGTGGGGCCTACTCATCACTGTTCCTCTCTGGACAATTCATCGCCCAGTGAGCAGTGCAACTTGCAGCTGTTAGTGAGAGCCCACTACAAGTGTCGATGCAGCAGAGGATCTGAAAGTTGTGGTGACTGCAAAGAAGAAGAAATTGCCAAAACACACAGCTTTTAGACCCTGAAACATTGGTGTCGACGCTTTTGCTGCTTGAACAGCGCGATCACAATCACCTCTCTGCTTTATGTTGTTGCTTGGTGAGTGCTATCAATTATCAGGGAGGGTCTTTGCATCTGTTGTTGATGTTGTTTCAGCTTTCCAGTTTCCTGCATAATCACCATCATTACAATGACGAAGAATCACCTACGGATATGGATTTCATACATTAACTGTCAAAAGCATCGGATGATGCTAGCTGATAAGGGTAATAATGGCGACATGACGTGCCACGACGTCAGCCACGCCTGGATGACGTTCTGCCCCAAAGAGGGCAATAATGCTGATGCAATGTGCGCTGACGTCACCCTCTCTCAGACAACGACTTCATCATTGTCTGACCTAACATGCTTGGCCGAGGCAGAGGAGACCGACGACCAAGGTTCGCCCATGCCCTACGGCAGTTCGGTTCTCCACGCAACGCCAACGACGATGTCAGACGCCATCAGAGGTACGATCCTGCCCCCGTGGGCAGGCACGTCAGGTAACATTAAACTTACCTATAAGTACCCCCGAGTTCCAAACGAGAGGGGGGGAGAAAAAAAAAAGAAGGGCACTACTTCATCTGAAATCCTCTCCACATCTACTAACTTGATCGTCGGAGGGGTCGGGCCGAGCCACCGACCCGACCTGTGTGCAGGTGCAAGGACGGGGTCGCTTCTTTCCAGTGCTGCGGCAAAGCTTTCCTCCCGACGTGATGTCCCGACCGGACCACTGTAATAGGCCACCGGGGCGATCTCGAAGAACGCCGTGCAAGATCCCCGTCATTCGGACCCCCAACCAAGTCGTGACGGCCCCGAGGCCACGACATAAAGTTGTTTACACTAACACTAGCAAGTATTAATATCTGATACACATATAGCACAGAGAAATCTAGTAACATCTATGATTGTCTCATAACATGTATATAAACAACTACAAGATCTATGTGACACTTGAAATTGTTGTCAATGATACATTATGTTGACCGTACGAAAAAAAATATCGGCATCTCAATGTACAAGAGAAAAATTATATTAACTGCCAACATAATTTGTAATATAATGGATGTAGGATCACGGTGATCATCGTCCCATCTTGGTTCAATAATCTTACACCGTAGATAAACTAGATAATTATAGTGTGTTTAAAAAATTCATATGAAACTTGTTATCGAAATGAGTCATTAATGTCCTTATTAGTCCAATGTGGTCCAGACCTATATACGTAAGGTTGTCTAAGGTACTTTTCAGATAAAAACATTGAGTTCCAAAGATGCTACTTGTACAAATAATAAGGTCGAGAGAGGTTTTCCGACTTGGTTCATTCGTCACCTAGGTCAATAATTCATGTATATGAGCATGGACGTGAATAATAAATATGTGATTATCTTTTCATTGTGTTAAAGATAAGCTTTTATATTTAGTCGTAAAGAGGGTAAAATATTTTATAAAATATTTTACAGGGAGGTAGCCTTTAACAACCTGCCCTTGGCCTTTTATTCATGTGGGCAACAAGAGAAAGATAACTTATAAATGTTTGCCTTAGACCCTTGGTCACGTGGGCAGTTGAGCAAATAGTGACCTGCATCTTCTCTTTCTACCTTGGACACCACATGGTGAACATGTGTCGAATGACGATTAGATGACAATATACTCACTATTATTTGTCCCCCCTAAGGCATGCTTTAAGGCTCTCGTAAGAGGGATTTGAGTTATAGTGTCTAGTTCATTTGACACAATATGCTTATAACTCTTCAATCCATCGCCAACATGGTGGCATGCCCAGTTCATTAGGTATTTCTAATTCATTGTGCCTGAGCACTATTGGTGGTGAACCATCATCAACTTGTCTCTCATATTATCGAGGGATGCACCTTGGTCAGATGAGGTTTGGTTTCCCATGCTAAGGCGATGATCGGCTTTCCCAACCTCCCCGCCTTATGCGCTATAGGCATATTTTATCTTGTACCTCCCACTATGATGGGTTTCTTTTAACTAGGTTGGGTTTTTCATACATCAATCACTTTTGTGCTCTTTGAGATGATCTTTGTATATTGGTTACTTTTACATTATCCAAGATGGTCTTTGCACAGTAATTACTTTTGCACTCTCGAAGGTGATCTTCACATATCGATCACTTTTTTACTCTCCAAGATAGTCTTCACACATCAATTACTTTTACGCTATGTGCTCCTTTATCAATTAACGTCTCTTTCATATTTGACCCAAAAAAAATACTTTTCTTCAATGTGAGAGAAGAGAGATCAACCCCCTCCATATAAATCTCCCTTGACCATGGGGGTGAGACTCATTCTCTTATTTGAACCTTAAAGGCCCTCCTTAAGAGCTCTCTCCACTTAGCCCTGATTCTCCTCTACAAGGTATGTTAGTTCTTGGGTGCTTCATCCTCCTAGCACATCAGCTCTATAACACCTCGGCCTTCCAACATCCTATGCTTCTACCCCAATAGGTCAAGATATCTTTCCTTTTTTACACAAGCTCCTCCTGATCTTATGGTCATTAAATGATCAAGAAGGTTGACGCTTTATCCTTGTATAGCCCGAGTAGAGGAAGTTCCAACCTCTTCCTTATTGGGAGAGTTAGTTCCTATGAACCCTAAGGTTTTTTTAGACTTAAGAGTCTATAAAAAACATGTCCAATAAAAACTTAATAGTAAGTGGACAACTCCTAAACCACTTACAGACCACGTACACTATCCCGATCGAGTTTGATCTACAAACTCCTTGGCCAGTCATTGTCCATTTGATATCATGTTTATGTTTTTTCGCTTATCTTTTGACTCTCTAGAGGCAGAACTTCATTTTTCCCTCTATTTGATGATTATGTCTTGTCTCTAATGATGGAGAATATCACCCTTAAAGATAGTACCCAACTTGTGGTGCTACTCGGTAGTGTTTTTTAGGGAATGTTAGCGCCTTGGTATTATCCCGACCCACAAATCCTTTGTCGCATGCTTTTGATTATGCAAAGAAAAGCATCTACTATTTGATTAGTCTGGCTTGCTCAACACATTCCATAAATAACACACTTTCCTTTTTATCATATTAAGAGGTGGATCAAGTACTTCGATTGAAATATATGCTCCCTTCTTGACCTAAGGATGAACGGAGACTGGTTGATCAACGCAGGTCTCAGCCCAACTCCTTGAGGTATGACCTAAACACCACATCTTCTCACTTCTTTTTAAATTTAAAAAAATTAACTCATGTAGTATTATGACTTTGATCTCTTGCAAGTATAGATCTTTGAGCATTGAAGAAAAAAAGAATTAGTTTCTTGTGGGCACGATGGTGGCCTCTTCGACTCCTCCGGCTACTATTTGTAAGCCATCAATCAAGGCATCGAGCCCAACTCGATTCAATCATCCTTCTGGCATCGATAAGTTGAAGACGATCATGAGAAAGGTGCCCTACCCTTGGCAGGACAAGGAACTTAAGGCAAAGGAGATTCCCAAGAAGGAATCAAATGAAGTACCTCTTGCCTCCAAAGTGTCCATGTTTTTAGAAGACTCCCAAAGCTCAAGGTCTTCCTTGGGAAAAAAAGGAGAGAGATAAAGGTTAATATTTGACTTATCTAAGGGCAAGTCCTTGCCCTTTGCAACATTGGAGATATCCGACCTACCAAACCCAATTCCAGATGTAACATTACAACCAAGATGGAAGGGTCTACAAGAGGGGCAAAATTTATAGGTCGATGGCAGAGTTGTAAAACAATACTATTGGGGATCCTTATGCTCGAGGATTGATGGGGATATAAAGCGAAATAACTTTTGTATATGAACAAATACTAGTAGGTCATGATATGCAGCGAAATTAAATGAAATCATAATAAAATAGAACACCAAGATATACGTGGAAAACCCCTCCAATATGAAGGGTAAAAACCACGGGACAAACTAGAGATAATCCACTATGAGAATAATGAATATACAAATCTCAATTTCTTGCCCTAAACCCTAGCAAGAATCACAAGAGAACAACTGGGATACAAGAATCGTGTCACTGTCCACGATATCTAAAACCTCCCCAAGTAATCACAGCAAGACTCTACTGTAGATTTGATCTAACCTGAGATGAGAACACTGCTAGATGATTGAGAACAGTCTCTCTGTATTGTCCTTGTTTTCTTCCCTTTCTTTCTCTTGTTTTTTTTTCCTTTTTCTTCTTCTCTTTGCTGCTACGAAGATCACCACGTTGCTACCTTTTTTTGCCCAAAAAACGTAGCCACCTCCCCTGCCTAAATGGAGCCACCACACCCCCTTATATTGATCTAATGTTAGGTTAAGAGGGGGTGTGGACTGATAAAGCCCACATGGGCTGAATATGGGCTGTTAGCCCAATAAGGATGACAAAACAAATTTATCGTTCTTTGATCAACATGGACTATCATAATGAAATATTAATGAGTTAAGTCATGGCTAGCCCCTTTAGTTCCTCATTACTTACCCCTTTATCTTTGATTTATAGTATCACGTCGTGACTCTTATTGACTGCATATAAGATGTCGGCTCTGTCATTCACCAATAGTCTCTTAGAGGCAAAGAATTAGAGGGTTGAGGTGGCGAGATAGTTAGAGAAGGCCTAGCAATGTCTTATTGACCATGTTGAACAGTTGAAAGTAGCTAAAAGCAACAATCAGAATATAGAGGATGAGTTGCTATGACTTACCCAAGAGCTGAAATTAATAAGGACGTATAACTTGGAGCTTACCAAGCAAATTACCATGGCTAATAAGCGGACCATAAGTATGATCAAGTAGGTTCTAGGTTTGAAGGAGATGTTGGAGGCTCAGTGAAACATGATACATAGGTATCGAGAGGAGGCGATCATTGACTACAAGGCTTTCGTTAGGTTTAGGAGGGTAATCAATCCAATGGGTGACCGACCCATACACTCCCTATGGTGCAAGTTGGTTTGTCCAAGCTCTTATAGTGCAATGTTGATCAGTGCATCACTCGCCATCTCAGCCCTTTTCTATGCTAGACAAGAGTCAAACTGCCTTCCATGCTGACTCCATAGCAATTGCCAACTAGCAATCAATGATTGGTGCTGAAATATTCCCTATCACTTGCCACGAAACATACGATGGGGACCTACAAAAGAAAGCACCACACAAATCACAAAGCGAAGCTCACTTGTTAATCGAGGTGGTTACGTTGGATCAGAGGAATATGATGAGGCAGCGATACAATAGGGTGAGCAAATAGTAGTCCATGAGCTCGGCATCACCCCCACCAAGCCAAGCGTCATGGCTAAGACCACCTTATTCCTCCATAGGAAGAATTAGTCATTTTACCATCGAACTATAGGTCCCATTCTAGGAGGAGGAGAACAATGCAATCTATCAAATCATTCAGATGCATTCTCAACCAGTTCGATCCCACAAAAAAGGTTAATCGATCACAAATTAGGTTGTTTTTCGAACAATGTCAATAAGGTGACAGATGTTCAATTAGGGTTTCAGTGAGTAAGAATGACTTAAAATAGGAAAGAAGATCGGTATCTTACGAAACCTAAACCTACCGATCTCAACTTAGTGAACAAAGCAAACTCCATCTTGATTAAACCAATATTTTTGAGATATATTATCAGTAAAATCATTTTTATTAGTAACAGAGAGAGAGAGAGAGAGAGGATTCGTACGTTTCCCGATAGTCGAGAAATGGAGGACGGCTTCTCTCGCTCAAAGAGGCAGTGGATCTCAGCCTACATGGTGTTGATGTTAGTAGCAAATGACTTAGAGGATTTCTCGTCATTCAAATCCGAAGACAAGGAGTCATCGTGGAGCGATGACGACGAATCCCTACTCACGCTTTACCATCGTCGAACTCCATGTTTTCAACCGCATTAGCATAGACGGACAACCTTTATTTAGTCGTCGAGGAGTAGCATTAGAATCGAAGTGTTCTCCAATAAAAAGCGAAAATAATTTTTTTTAGAATTATATTGAATGAAAATTTTTTTTCCATGCCTGAAGAATATAATTTTTTATTATTAAAATAACTTTGAAGAATATTATTATTCAAATATGCATGATAAAAATAAAAGATTATTATTTACGATTTCCTTTTTCAATTTTCACTATTTATAATTTATTTTAAATTTTTAAAATATTTTTAAGATAAATATATCTTTTTTTTAGGATAATATCTGAGTGAGTACAAACAATGATGATAATAAACGAAGCCAAGTTAACAATACAAAAGAAATAAGAGATTATGAAAAAGTCAATGACGAGCGACGTCAACAAACGACGGTAGCAATAAGTGAAATGACGTTGGTAGCGAGGATAAAACAAGGGATTACGAGAAAAATAAAAAAAATACTAAGATCCTAAATAATAAAAATAATATTTTATTATTTGTTATAAAGGATTATCTTTATTAGGGACTAAATAATAAGCCTCTCCTTCTATCGACCACAAACCGTTATCCGTTAATTCCATGAAGAAGCCTTCAACGATTTCACAACTTCTACCCACGCTCGCTGAGACGAACCCCCTTCTCTCCTTGCCTCCACCGCCGTCTCCTTCATCGCCACCGCCCGCGCCCTCAGTTCCTGCCCTGCCTCCGACTCTATCAGCCACCTGATCTTGGCCTCTACTTCCTCCGCCGCCACCATTTCCTTGTCGTAGCCCTCCATCGCCACCGCCATTCGCATCTGGTCCACCAGGAACACCTTGTTCAGCTTCTGCTCCGCGTACAGCGGCCACGCCACCATCGCCACCCCGGCCATGATGGCCTCCATCACCGAGTTCCACCCACAGTGGGTGACGAATCCGCCCACGGCCCGGTGGTTCAGCACCTCCACCTGCGGTGCCCACGACTTCACCACCAACCCCCTCTGCCTCGTCCGCTCCAAGAAACCTTCGGGCAACAGAGTCTCCAGGTCCGATTCGGTTAGTGGCTCCGACACCTGGTGCTCTACGCTCTCGGCCTCCGGGGCTCGCACCACCCACAGGAACCGCTGCCCGCTCCTCTCCAAGCCGGCGGCGATCTCCATCAACTGCTCTGCACGGAAGGTGCCCATGCTGCCGAAGCAGAGGAACACCACGCTCCCTCGCGGCTGCGCGTCCAACCACGCCACGCACTCCGCCTTTTCTTCCTTTACACCTCGGTCGTCTCCGCTCCAGTCCGCGACCAACGGCCCAATGCAGTAGACCGGCGGCATCCGACGGCCCGGAATGAAAGCACCTTCCTGGAGGGCCCTAACCGCCTGAACCTCCATGGATTCGAACGTATTGATCAGTAATCCGTCGGCGTTCGGCCCGCGTTCGGCGATGAGCAGCAATCTCTTATAGGATTCTCTGTTGCGGTCCAACCCGTCGGGAGGCATGTGGGAGGCGGGGACCGGCGGCAGCCCCGGGATGTGGAGCGGGGCGTCGTCGAGGTCCTTGAAGCTGAGGTGGGTGGCGAAGTGGAGGGTCGGGAAGTAGAGGAAAATTGCAAGATCGGCGGCGCCCGAGGTCCAGAAGAGGTAGGAGGGGAGGCGGAGCTCGGCGGTGACGTCTGCGTCGGTGCAGAAGAAGTCGAGGACGACGGCGCGGACGTCGTAGGTCTGGGAATGGGCGGCGACGAAGTGGAGAAACTGCGGGTTGTTGAGGCGAACGACGTCCAACAAGCGGACGGTGAACACGGCTTCCGGGTCGGGAACGGAGGAGACAGGCGGGAGGCGGTGGAAGGAGATGGAGGGGTAGGCGGAGGAGACGCGGGCGATGACGGAGTCAATGGAGGGGTGGTCGATAGGGGTGTCCATGAGGACAACGGTGACGGAGAAGTCGTGGAGGAGGAAGAGCTTGGCCAGCTCCAACATGGGCACCAGGTGGCCGATGCCGGGCAGTGGGTACAACACCACCGCTTCCTTCATCGCCTTAATTACCACCCTTTTGCTAGCCCTAAACGAAGCGAGTAGCGCAGGAAGACGAGAAAGATGGTGGCGGCACTCATGCCACCACTGCAAGGAGAGGATAAGATGAGGCTGCCGCTGCTCTTCGACATGTACGGACAGTGGCGCCGACAGTCCATGTCTTGTCGCGTTCTGCGTGTTCGGACACACACCGCCATGTCAAAAGCCCCACCAAAGGAACTGTACAATACCAAGGCAGCAAAATGAACTCAGCAACGCTTCGACCTTTATGCAATCAAGCGAAACATCAAGTGAACTTTGTACCTCAAAGTGGCTGCAAAAGATTTCAGCTACTGCATTATTGATGAGGTGACAAGAAAGCCAGCTAATGGGGATGCAGTAAGCTTGCTAAAGAACAACAAAGGCGCGAGAAGTGCCAGTGAAATGGCTAATTTTCCCAAGCAGACTCTTCGACGCACCAAAATGCCTCAATCGATAGACGCCCGCAGTAGCCGTTTCAGGGATTCGCCATTCCAGCGTTGCATGGCTATAAGAACTGAGCTGCGAAGGCCGAGACCACTTAAAGCGCAAGCTGAAATCATCATCGTCATATGCAGGAACCCAAGTGCTGCTGTCTAAGAACTCCACCAGAGAGAATGTACCCTTAGTCAGGAGGTCGTTCCTCGGGCAAGCAGACCAGAATGTGGCCGTCGCCATGTCGCCGGGCCGGAACGTAGAGTTTTCAGGAACATCTGCGCTGGTGTCACCAAACTTAACGCCAGCTGGTGTTGCGTCCATGACAACAGGAGGAAGAAGACTGATTTGTTTGTCCAAGAGATCCGGAGGTTGCAAGTCTGATCCAAAGCTTTTGCCATTTAGAAGGGCTGAAGCAAGTTTTTTGAACTCCTGAATGTAACCACTGAGTGTGTGTGGACCATATAGTGTTGATGCTCCCTACAGAACAAAATAAGAGATTTAATGTAAGAATGTTCAAACTATAATTAACATTAAAGTAGATCACATGAAAATGGAATTAATAGCACAAAGCTTAGAAGAGCTTTGTGGTTTATAAAGTCTGTGACTAAGCAATGTATATTTATTGGGAATACAACAGTGCAAAAGGATAAGATTGATATTACTGGTTTCCGATTGGCTTCTTCGACATGCTAATACAAACAGAGGCATACATATCAAAAATTTAAAGATGGTTTTCGTAGCCGACCTTAAATGGTTGGGACTTTCGGTCTTGTTATTGTTGTTGTTGGTTTTCTAACAACTAATTCTAGATTGAAAAGTAACATGTCAAAGATAACATAACGAATGCTATACGATTAGTGCTGGCAGGTTAAAACTGATAAAATTTTGGATCTTAGAAAGGCTAAAGATGACTGGATGGATAAATGTAGACGATAAAAAAATGCTTTAAAAGAAATAGTTGCTATGTGAAAATGAACTAATATTGGCATAGCTTCTCATTTAATGCACCTCATATCTTTGGATCTGGTACTCCTCAAATGTGGTCACATATTGTGAGTATGTGTTTGACAGCCCAGAAATGACAATCTGAACATTACTACCAAATTCACCACTGCCATCACTGGTAAGTACTGTTCGCACCGCATCTCGGAGACGCCTTCCAGCCATTGTAGTAAACTCTGCGGAGAGAGAGAGAGAGAGAGAGAGAGAGAGAGAATACAGATAATTCATACACATTTTAAGGATAAAAAAACTAACATATCTGCAGAAGTAAATACTGAATATGTAAAAATAATAAACAAGAGAAAATTTCTATCTCAAAAGCTTTATGGTACGGCAAAGAAATTATAGATAAAGCATATCTTTTTCTAAATACATGCCAAGATTGCAATTCTTTCTATGTGCCAAAAAACATAATAAGTATATACCTCCAGGGACACAGAGGATGACCACCTGTCCTATTCGGATTATTTGTACTGGAAGTATTGAAGGCTGGAAGGGAAAAGAAAATATCAGCCATAATAAAAAATGGAAGGTTATATTCATTAATGTAGAAACAGCAAGAAGCCAGGCCATTGAACAAGAACAATCACAGCAAATGCAAGAATCCACATAGCCATTGTAAAACAGCCATCAGTTATATGGATAGTTATCCAACTGAAATTGATGCAGAAACACATTCAATAGTGTCTTCTCAGAAGAAAGAATGCCTATTTAGTTGATGGTTATGATACATTCTGAATGTAGATTACTAGTACTGTTGTCATATATCAATTTCATCAAAATCTTCATTCAAAATTAATATTAGTCATTGGATATAGCTTCTTTAACAAATATCGGGAAGGAGAAAAGAAAATCCACGTTTCAACATCTCAGAGATAAAGATCATCCGACAGATAACTATTGAAAAACCTTTTCTTACGGTCAAATATTTGATTCTGTTTTTTTTAAACCTATATTGCAGATGCCATACTTACGAAGGGGAATCGAATCAAGTAAAGGCAATACAACTAACATTTGCTTGATATGGGTAACCAATGGGCAAGACTTTCTACTTATGGTCAAATATTTATTAACAGACTCCTGTATGCAGTAGATCAAAGAACTTTGAAGTATAAGATGAAGCTCACCGCCCAATCATATGGTACATTCATGTCACCAGTGTCAAGTAAAATTGGCTTTGGCTGTTGACAAGCAATTTGCTCCTGGCTAGGTGTTTTCAGTATGTTCCTCACTAATTTCCAGAAAGCATTACCCTGAAGCAGCATTAATGATTACTGTTTAAATAGTTATCCAACATGCTTAACGAAAAATGATAAAGACTAATTCCTTGTGACGAACCTTGTCATCCCCTTGCTTAAAATCAAACATTCCAGGACCATCTGTGGTTCCTGCAGCAAAAGCAAACCCCATGGCCGCAGGGCATGTTTTAACAACCTTTTGATCTCCATCTGTAAGGGCGACCTCTAGCTTTGAGAAATCTAAGTAGGTCTGTCGATAGTCGACTTTTCCTTTTACCAGCTCAGAAGCTGTATCAAAGAGTTCAACAGCCTTAACAAATTGCCTGTCACCAATGATCCTTGTGCTTTCAAATTCATCTGGGTATCTGACAGATGAACCAGATCCAAGGGATTAACAGTTTATGAATTTTAGTACATAAAAGTTAAAAGGACTGGAAAATTAAGTATGGATACCCTGGGCCTCGTCCATAGCAAAGTTCATTCTTCCCATTACAGGTACTGTGATTGAAATCACAAGGGAGTCCAGTATCGATGCAGAATGCCCCAAGCACATTCGGACTTACATCTCCACAATTTGATTGGCAAAACGCTGATACAAATTTAGGTTTGCCATCTTGCCTATCTCGGACACGTTGTGAGACACTTTTAGAACTTGCTAAATGCCTTCCACCTGATGCCGGGAAAGAGGATGCCAGCTGCTCAAACTCATAAGCTGCAAAGGATTTGTATGAAGTCAAAGGATTGGGAGAAAGAATCTAGACATTGTAGGTAAATTTTAGTACATAGATTGACTAGAAGAATGTAGAGCATATCAAAACATACCATTCTCATGTGGCTGAGGAATGATGATTGAAACTCTTCGATAAAATCTGCTATGTCTGGGTCCAGTCACAACTGCACCATGATATATACTGTCACTTCCTTTTGGAAGACCTTCCTGTTCTGCCCAATCCTCCATAAATCGTGCAGCAGCTCCTTTGTTATCTCCACTAATCAAAGAGTTTGTACGACTCATTGAGGTACCATGAGTAGCAAACCAGTTAAAACTCCCAACAGCACCCCATTTTTCATCTACGAACTTCAACAAAGTCATTTCTTTGTCAACATCATACTTATAGTGGCTTCGCTCTGTAGCAGGATTATTTAGGTAGGCACTAGGACTACGATTTATGCTAGCATCCAAGAGCTCTCCTGAAAAAGAAAATAAGTAACTGCATTATGCACGAACATGCAGATAAGTACAGTTACAAGTTGCTCATGGCTAATATGAAAATGCCTGCATGCTCTAATTTCTTTCTCTAAACAAATTTTAATGGTAGATTTAATACAGAAATTAGGCATACTTTCTATGGTTATCTAAACAAAAACAACCAACATGAAACATGAGAGACTTCATTACCATTGTTAACAAAGATATTCCCAGGTCGGAGATTTTCATGGGCTTCTATGATGCTCTGCTCGATGCCATCAACGATGGCATCAAATGATTGCCTAACGAATCCAAGAGATGTTACAATATACACAACATATTGGAGGTAACCCCCAGGACCACTATGTGTATGAATTCCACTGATGGCTACATTTTTTTCATTATACATGTTCCCATACCTGCCAGAAAGTAAACACAGCTCACTATTTGCCAATATGGGGATAAGCTGAAAATTTGAGACATTTAAGTCAATGGAAAGATTCAAGTATAGGAATAGTTACATATGATATTCAAGTAAATGTCACTAGACCAACATTGCAGTATATGTACATGACTGATATATGGATGAATTCCCAAAGCTACACTATCAACTCCAAAAAAAAAGGCTTCAATTTAAATGCCAGAGTGATAGTTACATGAAAGTTGTGTAGAGCTTTCTTCATGTATCAGTAAACAAAATTGGTCAAATAAAAAAGACCAACAATATAAGTGAACCCAACATGAGTGTACTATTTTATTCCATGTGTTTGTAAGTTATACAAAAACGGTGCCGCTATCGCACCTAAAAGCCAGAATCACTGAGACGATGTAATTCGATCTGTAATTCTGGTATTACAAAGAAGCAGCAATGAAGCAATATTTAATCTTAGACTCTTACACTCACAGAACTTTGAGAGTTCATATCAACGTGCACCGATCCACAGGAAGCCTAAAAGCCGTCAGTACAATTAGTACATCCTAAAATGGTAAATTTACTAAAAACCAACGACCAAAAGTTTCACAGAGAATAAAGGGGTGCAGTATAGAGATCAATCAGAAAACCCACTTTGCAACAGCACTCATTCAATAGTGAAACAACTAAAGGGAAGATATCTTTCTAAAGGAAAAAACAATGTAAATGTCTCCATCTCTTTCATGGAAAATGCCCCAATGATTCTTCAATTTCTAGTATAAAGATTTCATGTGATATCTGAGCAGGTATGTAATACAAACCGCATAACCAGAAAATTCAGTGTTTGATAGCAAACACACCCTAAATATTGCTAAAATCCTCATGGTATTAGGCAAATTGCCAATATGAGAACAGACTGCCAATTGTGGTTTCAGATGCATTCAACTGTGTATGCACCCACAGATTGACTCCATAAATGCAGGTTCCTTGCAAATGTCAGTTCTTATGACAAGCATTAAAACAGTTCTGATAGGAAGAATATCATTCGATCAATCATCATCCAATACGTGACCTCCGTGTGACATTCAGGTTAGAAGGAGGCAGAACCTGTCCCCTATCAGTCTGCCCACGTGGACAAAGGTCCAAGGGATGCAGTTGCAAGCTGTCTCAACCCTTGTCACCCACGTGAAGAAAAGATCAAATGGAGGTTGTTAGAGATGGTTGAGGGCTAATTCCCCATAGAATATTCTACAGAATATTCCACCCATTTATGACCATGTATAAAAGCTCACTTTTAGCGCAACTGCAGGGAGTCACTTTACAGGATTCATCACCACATTCCCTTTCCTGGGGTTACTAACTTGAGCGTCGAAGAAACCGAATTGGAAAACTTTTCCCGACCTTGATCTTCATGCAGGTGGTGCGTTGGGAGCTCGATGTTTTCACCTCGGAGATACCTCGAACAACCTTGCACACACAGGTCTGAACCATGTCAGGCTGAGCAAGACATCAATGATATCTTCCCATAACAAGTTTTATCTTGCTTTCCTTTCTACTGCAAAATTCTGTATTACTACATCATGCCATTTTCACCACCATCAAAGATATCATAAATCAGCATTATTTGATCGCACAATTCCTTACCACTAAGGTATTCAATAATGGACCATTAGTTATTGTAATGTTAGATAAATGTAAATGTCTCCATCTCTTTCATGCAAAATGCCCCCAATGGTTCTTCACTTTTGAGTATAAAGACTTCATGTGAGATCTGAGCAGGTATGTAATGCAAACCAAGAAAGTTCAGGTGACTGATAGCATCCACCATGGTATGCAATTTCGAATAGTACCATCCGGTACGGATGGTACGTACCAGTCCGACGGCATACCGATACGCGAACTGCCCACTATTGGACGGAACGTGCTATAGTGCTACAGTGCTATACTGTATCACTGCTACAATGCTACAGTAGAGGAAGAAATATTTAAAACCACTCGGTACGTCATGGTGTACCGAACAGTATATGGTACCATACCGTACCGAGCCAACCTCGAAACACCGGTACGGTATTGCATATCTTGGCATCCACACCCTAAATATTACTAAAATCATCATGGTATTAAGCAAATTGCCATGATGAGCACAGACTGCCAATTGTGGATTTAGATATATTCAAACCATGGATCTACTCACAGATTGACTCCATAAATGTGAGTTCCTGCAAATGTCAATTCTTATGACAATAACTAAGAATTATAACAGTTCTATTTCTGCCTTCCTTTTTACTGCAAAATTCTCGATCGCTACATATAATTTTCACCACCATGAAAGATAATCAGAAATCAGCATTATTTGATTGAGCAATGCCTTACCACTAGGGTTTTGGGTAATGGACCGTCAGTTGTTGCAATGCTATGCTTTACAAGAACAGGCTACATGATCATGTCCTATTCACTACAGAAAGTTATATGTATAACATGCTTTTAGTGAAAAGTTCATGAAGCAGAAGCAGCAACAACAAAAAGCCATAAAGTTCATGGTGAAAAAATTTGCTAAGAAATATCTGATCCATTTCATGCTATATAAATGCTCAAATTCAGTGGTGGCACTTAACAAAGCACTTTTGAGTTTAGAACTTATTGTAGCTATCCTATAAAAAATTTAGCTTGAAATACCTTGACTTTAGTCTCTCATGCACTTTAATCGTCACAAGTTGAGATGCCATGCACGCATCAAGGTTCACGAAAACAACACGATTCCCTCCTGGCTCTGCAACAATAAATGTCCGTGCCTTGAGCCTGAAATGGACGCCAGAGGCAATCTGTTCCGCATTAGCATATCCCATCATATTGACATCAGCTGCTGGTCCTGTTATGTCATAGCTCCCAAGCCCAATTAAATATGTTGAATCTGATAGAGCTCCTCCAATGTTAAGAACAGAAACTAATAGCAAGATGCAAAACCACATGTCCATCATCGAATCAATGGTACAACAGAGAAGGGGAACTCTACTAGCACTGACAAAAAGACCTCCCAATCAAATTCATGTACACCAAGTCATCTTGAGCCGAACCTATGAAGAGAAAAATAGCAACATATTGGAACAAGGAAAAACAGAAAAAAAAAAAAAAAAAAAAAAAAAAACGATTGTATCAAGACATGATTATGCATGGCCAAAAATAAAATCTTGTATAATTCTATGATCGAATATGACACCTCAATTTAGTCCCTTATCGGAGGTGGGAGGAGGTTTGAGTTGATTATAGGACTATAGCAGATATACTATTATCAAACTCATCCTATATGCTGTCAAGCTGGAATCATGCTATGGGCAGAAGATGTGGCAAGATGCCTTATAGAGATGGTCCTAAATAATCACCAAAAGTTCACCTTCCAACCTGAGGTTAATGTCGAAAAAGGCCAGTTCCCTATGTAGGTAAGGGTGAAGCATAGTGTGCACAGATGGAAGTAACATTACCACGGGCATTAAATGAGAATCACACAGCTAGCCATATTTGCCTAAACAACTATTTGATCTGATCATAACTGAGTTCAGATCTGCTCTGGATACATATCCATATTGGGAGAAGCTGCGAATTAATTGTTTGTCATCAAAGGATCAGTATGGGAGAACATCTCTACAGTGAGAATATGTCTGAACAAGAAATATGATAGTGACATTGGGCACAAACATCAGACAAAGAATTGTGCAGGTTTTGCTTGTGACGGTGAGGATCGCAGAGGGTTGACGGAGGTGGGACTATACGGCCTTTCGATAACCATTGCCACTGAAAAATGAAGTGTTTTTACGGCGGCCATCGGCAGGGTCGGTGGTACCTTAAGGGCTTCCGATCGCACACCCAAGGCACAAGAGAGCGGTTGAAAGAGAGGGGACGACATTGAAGCAGTGAGCAACTACTAGGTCAACCAAAGCAGCGAGATTTTGTCGGGATCCTACCCGCCGAAAAGTACAACGAACCACGCCTCGCCATGGATTCAGGTGACACTTGGCGTTAAGAGATAGATTCGAGTCGAGCGCACGAGAATGGAGGCGGACGATCGACTCACCTGGAACGGAGGGAGAGAAGCGCGTCGAGCAGCAGCGGGTGAGACGATCCACAGCTCCTTCTCTCCCCTTTATACTCGGAAGCGAAGGGGGAGGGATGAGGGCGTGGTTTGGACACTACGGCGCTGCTTCTTGCCTTTCCTTGTCGAGGGGAACGACGACAAAGCGGCCTCGGGCTACTCGCTCTCTTCGGTGGAGCGAGTGAGGTCGAAGCGACAAGAGACCGTGGCGTGAAGCGGGACGCCTTAAATTACATGTCGACCAGACCCACATGCGACAACCACGTGGCATCCTGGTCGAACCGGACTGTCCCCGGATCAGCCCTAAGCCGAACCGGTCTGAGATGGCAATTTCAAACCCTATTCACACTGCCTCGGCTCGATCCTGGCTCCCTTACGAGCGGGAGCACTTATAAGGTTATTTAGTATTATAAGAATATTTAGTCTCACATTGATTAAAGAGTATGAGAATCAAGGATGAGCGGGTGCGCCCATCGTTTAAAGCGGATAATTCGAATGACCGACTGACCAAATGGTTCCTCTTTTATATATATATATATATATATATATAAGGGATCGTTCAACGACTCTATTCAACGAACCATTCGTCGCTCTCGTGTACATGTACAATTGCTTAGCAACATGTTTTAGTTTAGTTTTAAGTTCTTTTGCTTGTAAAAATGTAAGTTCGAACTAGTTGTAGTGTTGCAGTGCGACCGCTCACCGAATCGAGCAAAACAGCTCCAAAATAGCTCAGTTTTCGCATGCCACGGGCTGATTTTTGTAGCCCGTTACTGCACGTAAAACGTTAGCCATTTCAGCACCTTGGAACCCCGCGGGGGCACAGGGCTGGATGGGGCTTCGGTATAGTGTTGGGCGTTGAACAATCTTTTGCAAATTTGCATATTACCTTGACGAAAACTTGTTATCGCGCCCGACACTCGGTGAGCAGCTATTTGTAGACTTGTAGTTGTTCATTCAACCTTCTAAAGTCATTGTCCCCCCCCCCCCCCCTCCTCTTTTCTCTTGTGCACGCAAGGTGCTCGCTGAATTGCTTGTAAAGCTTCCCCTCTTCGCGAGACATCGGGACTTGTCTGTCGCTCGTTCTTCGAACTAATCAACTTTCTC